TAAACAGGTTTTCTTTTACCTTGAAAATTGGACAATTTAGATTTCACCTAGTTTCCAAATTGCATTGTACCTGGAGTCAAAGCTCAAATTTGGAAAACTCTTAATTTATACACCATTTTGTCCAAAAACAATTATATTTTCTCTTTGTATTTATAGTTATGAACTTTTAGTATAAAGAATTTAATAACAAAGTTGTATACTCTGAATATGACATTTTAAAGTCAAATTTTTAATTCTAATTTTCYAACAGGTTATTTAAAAATTAATGATTTGATAAAATATTGCCAATTCATGTGATAGAAAAAATGTACAAAAATAAACAATAGATGATTCAACTTTTTGCTTATACAATTAATTGATAAATTGGAAAAATAGAAAAATTAGTGTGAAACTCATATGCATAATTCAAGTAATTTGAACTTAATACTAGAATTGTGTAAAGTTTAAAAGTTTGCCTTGTTTAATAGTAATTTGTAAATTAAATTAAAGTCCCCAAGCCACTTCRCAAACATAGCTCCCTGCCAATGACAAGCTGGCTTTTCCCCAAAACATGAGTCACCCTATTTTGTCACTGTTTTTGTGCTTACCCCTGCTCATTTGCCAACGGATCTGGCTCATTACAGAGTTGTTTTGTACTTTTGTGGAATAGTTGACTAGCCAACTTGTCAAAGATTTTGTAATTTGGATGTCTGCTCTGTGGAATTTGAACTCTTTTCAAATGGTGAGTTACTGTTGCCTATTTTTGCTGTGATTTTTTTGGTTCGTCTTTCTTGCTTTCATCCAAAAACTTTTGGCAGAGAAGTGAATATAGTAAGTTAAGTCAGTCAATGTACAATTATAAAATGAATGACCTGATAAATGAATATCAAGCAATTAGCAATTTGAATCATGTAAGGATGTGTGCATTACAAAACAGGACAAGCGGTTGATTGTATTAGACTTTAAGACTAAAATATACTAGTACCCTGCTTTTGAAGAAAACATTCTTAAAACGTTTTTAAAAGAATAACTCTTGAGATGGTTGTGTATAATGCTTGATATATTAATGTTTATCTGTTTGAGATATTAATGTTTATCTAATGCAGGTTTACCTTCTATCTCATATTCTGATATCTCTTTCTCACTCACAATTGAACAGATATCATGTAATAAATGGATAAAATACTAGATATCAACAACTTAGAGGTCTAGCTTATGCTTGATATTCATTTATCAGGTAATAATAACAATATCTATGATCCAATTTGCCATTCATGCCCACAATGGGTGCAGGTAGAAACTGTTAAATGATACATTTTTCTTCTTCTCTTTCTCATAATTCATTAAATGCATTTGAAATGTTATGTTTGCCATTAAAAAAATGCTTGCAGAATCAATGATAATGGATTTGATAAAAAGTAGAATTTCCATGCACAAATCATTTGCTCATAAATATAAACAACCAATTCATGGATTTTGCAAACTTCTTTGCAAACAGCTACAAGATACAACAGACTTTTTGAGTGCAATAGCAATATTATTCATCTATTATATTGATCAATTTGCAAGTATGCTTTACTGCTTGCGACATTTTTCCAGTTCCATAACACTACATGTAGCTCTTAACTGCCATATATCATCCACTACAAGTGCGATGTGAATGCTAAATAAGCAATTTGATGCAACTTATAATTCCCTTCAGTATAAGCTCTTTCAATTCAATTTTTTTAACTAGTTTAGTTTATGCTTTCATTACAAGGTAGTGATAACTGCACATACTTAGCTTTTTTGGCAATTTTGCTCCATTTAGACACAGTTTTTTTAAGAAAAATTATTCAACATCATTAATTTGATACAAATCACTACAAAGAGCAGTAATTTGTTTATAGTCTTGGCCAACGAGCAACATACATGATGTCTTCTATATACTTGTGATGTATCTATTGGCTAGGTTTCATAGATTTACGCCTAAACCTGGATGGTCTTTTAAGTACTTAACTGGTTTTATGTACACAGCTATCAGAGGCACTATATGCCATTAACATGAACGCAATTTAGATGAAACTTGCGGTCTCACACMTTTTCGTTTATAATTTGCTTAATACTCAATTTTCAAGATCATATTTTGTATTTTGTAATTTCGTAAAATCTCAGTTATTTTGCGTAATTTTCTTAATATTTTATTGAAAATTTAGACTGCTTAAATGGGATCTTAAAAGTGAGATTTATTTCGCATATTTTGCTGCTTCTTTATCGTTATCATGAAACCTTTTTTGAAATGAAAGAAAAGTGGAAGAGAAAGAAATTGAAATAGTGCTTTTAGCAAATTGGCGGGATATATTGATGAAAGGGAAAAGATTGCAAGAAAGAAAACGCAAAGA